ATGGCAAGATAGAACAAAAGCTTCACCTGTTTCTGAATCAGAGATGGCCTTATATATGGGCACAGTAAGTAATTTTACAGCGTTATTTCAGGAGTGCTTGGATGGTGCAGAGGAGAAAGATTTTTGAGAGCACTGAGCATCTATGAAAGAGTAAAAGAACACAAAAGAGATGAGGCTTGGTAAAGATGCACTTCATAGGTTTCAGAATTTTGCCAGCAGCATTTTATTTACTTGTGGAGGATTTGGACGATACTTTAATTGCATTTTGATTTGAGATGGTAGCATCATGGTATTGGATCCAAAATCCTTTCCTAGTATAAACAAATTCTGTTTATTATTGTTTTCTACAAAAACAGCTTTTAAAAAATAGTAAAGTAAAAAAAGGAACACACAGCTTTTTCCATGTAGAAATTACTCCCTTATTAAATTATTTAGGTAGATCTTAGTGAAGGATCTTGGAAAAAGATAATAAAAAAAATTTATTGTTTTAGGAGGGACTCAAAATGTTAAATAAAAGAAATAATGGATGGCTTTAAGACAAAGAACTTTACCATTTTGCATAAGAAAATCCCAGGTTCCCTTAGGATGACAGCTGTATATAAATTGAAATTAACATTTTTAGTTTTCTCAGTTTCTGGATTATACTATAAGCATAACTACTTGATCAGAGCCCTGGCTACTGAGGACTTGAGAGATGGGGCTTAGAAAGTGTGGGTGACCTTAGGTGACAATCTTGGGAAAGCACTAATTCTGAGAGAATGGAAGATGCCTCGCAAGGAGGGAGGAGGGAGTGTCCCTTGGAGGCTCGGTGGTGAAGAGTAAGAAAGAAGCAGCTGAAGATAAGGGTCCAAAGGAAATAAGATAAATGAAAAAAAAAATTGTTTCCACCACCACCATCACAAAAAGTACCATTTATAAAGAAACTATACTTCAGTGTAGCCACAGAGGAGGGTGCTCTTGAAATGAAAACTCAATAAGCCAATTTATCTCCCTTCTTACCCCATCACAAGATAACTTGTTATTGCTGATCCTGAAAAGCCCAATTTAAATAGTCTTCAACAGAAAAAGAATCCAGCATCTGTACAAAGTTACTATAAGAAAACAGAAAATTAAAATCGAATCTTCTCAGCTCACAGAGAGAGAGAGAGAATGAAAGCAAAAATAAAAAGAAAGAAAAGTCACAAAACAGGAATACTGAAACACAACACTGGAACGTGAATAACAAATATTACACAAGCAACTGCATTATGAAAGGACACTGTGAATCAGACACTCCAAAACTCACAGTTGAAATAGACACACAACAGGAAGATGTATGACACAGGAGCTGCCTGAACTCTGGAAATAAAGCGACAAAAATCATTTCAGAAGTGAACACTTAATTACAAGGTACCCACGGGAAGGTAAATACTGCCAAAAGTTCAGTAAGAGACATAAAGAACAGAAATGAAAGAGAGTTGAGAAAATGAAACTGAAGTCAGAGATAAAAGGATCAGAGAGAAAGTGATAGAGAAAATCCAGTATATTTAGTTCCAGAACTTGAACTAGAAAAACAAATGGAAAACGAACAGAAATTATATTTAAAATTATGGGTAAAAAAACTTTTCTGAAGTACAAGGAGATCTGAATATCCATATTGTAAGGACTCCTTTGTTCCTGGCAGAATTGATCTAGACCAACTGACTGTTAGTTATATCCTGTATGCTAGTGTTAGACCTTAAAATAAAAGGAAAAAAAAGACCACCTGAGCCTCCAAGCCAAAACATAATAGTTTAAAAATTTAAAATAAGTTAAAAATGAAAGTAATTAGAATGGAAAGAAAATCAGCTTAACATCACACAGCAACATATAAAGCAAGAAAATGGTGGACAAACATTTTTAAGAAATTCCAAATGAGTAATAATTTTAATTTATTGTAAATTATTGAATAAATAAAAACTCCTAAGTCCATAGTGATACCCAAGATTACTTGTGAATTGCATTTCGAGTGACTTTTTAAAAATGTTCTACAGTTATTAAGAAAATTTTCAAACCTATCCGTGGTTGATGCATGCTGAAGTGTTTAGGTATGAACTGTCATGATATCTGCAACTTGGTTTCAAATGGTTCAGAAAAAGTAAAAAAAAAAAAGAAAGAAAATATAGAAACTTGTTTGGAATTTTTCATAGCAACTACTTGTCATTTTAAAAAGTCACCCAAAACAAATTGCTAGATTTCCAATATTTTTGTATCTTTCCAAATGACTGAGAGACATTTTGTAAGTAAAATATATTCCATCTTATACATTGTTACTTTAGATTTTTGGAATAAACAATGAAGAGTGTCTTTTCTGTATTTCTATATATTCTTAGAATTGCTTCAGTGGTTTAATCTTCATTCATTTTTTTTCAGCAGATTTTTACTGAAACTGCTGATGCCTTAACAGGAATCATGGCAGTGACACCAAACTGTAGTGAGTAGTAGTCATTGTATTTGTCCCCGCCACAGACACGCAGTAAGAAAGAGACAAACATGCACAGATATGTCAGTTTCACTTAGAACTATCCTTGATGAGGAAGGAAAAATTTTTAATTATTTATCTTTTTATTATTGAGTTGTAATAGTTATCTATACATTCTTGATACAAATCCTTTTTCAGATATGTGATTTGCAAAAGTTTTCTCCCATTCTGTGGGTTGTTTTTTAACTTTCTTGATAGTGTCCTTTGAAGCACAGAAGTTTTAAATTTTGATGGTATTCAATATATCTACTTTCCCGTTGTTGCTTGGTACATGTTTTATATACCCAAAAAATGTAGATTGACTTTTTAAATGTACGTTATGAATATTTTAAAATAATGTGGGATTTTTTTTGTCAATTAATATTTATTTTTTCTTTTTTTTTTTTTTTTAAAGATTTTATTTTTTCCTTTTTCTCCCCAAAGCCCCCCGGTACATAGTTGTATATTCTTCGGTGTGGGTCCTTCTAGTTGTGGCATGTGGGATGCTGCCTCAGCATGGTTTGACGAGCAGTGCCATGTCCGCGCCCAGGATTCGAACCAACGAAACACTGGGCCACCTGCAGCAGAGTGCGCGAACTTAACCACTCGGCCACGGGGCCAGCCCCCATATTTTTTCTTATTTTTAATTGTGGTAAATATACTATATTAATTTTCGAGGACTGCCATCACAAAGTACCACAGACTGGGTGACTTAAACAACAGACAGTTATTTCGTCACAATTCTGGAGCCTAGAAGTCCGAGATCAAGGTGTTGGCAGGATTGGTTTCTTCTAAGGGCTCTCTCCTTGACTGACACGTGGCCGCGTCTTCCCCCCTGTGTCTTCATGTGGTCTTCACTCTGTCTCTGTGTCCTACTCTACTCTTAGAAGGACACGGTCATGTCGGCTTAGGGCCTACCCTAACGACCTCATTTAGCCTTAATTACCTCTTTAAAGACCCCATCTACAAATACAGTCACATTCTGAGGTACTCGAGGTCAGGGCTTCAACATAGAAATTTTGAGGGGACACAATTCAGCCATAACATATACATAATATAAAATTTACCATTCTGACTAACCATTTTAAACTATATAGTTCAGTGGCTTTAAGCACATCAACATTATCATGTAACCATCACCACCATCCATTTCCAGAACTGTTTTTATCTTTCAATACTGAAAGTCTCCTCATTAAACAATAACACCCCATTCTCCCCTCCCTTGTCCCTGGCAACCACTATTCTATTTTCTGCCCCTATAAAACAATGTTTTGAGGCAATATTTTTTCATCATTAGTGAGAGTCTTTAAAGTTCTCCCAAACTGATTATTTTTATGCTAATTCTACAAAGTATACACAGACTTTTACCTAGCCAAGAGATTCTTTAAGCTCTTAAATCATATCCAAAATTTTGTCCTTATTTGTATATCTGCCTTTTTCTTGGGAGAGATTCCAGATTTCTCACCATCAGATTCCTTGACTACAGCCCTAGAGGCTTAGACCAGTCTTGTTTGATTATTTTTCAAGAGAATTCAAGGTTTTGATTTTTCAAAACTTAATTTTTAAATTGGTAAGTTAATGTGTAATTTACAGAAAAAAGTAAAAGAAAGTTTAAATATGTTTAGGTCTTATTGTTTTGAAATGTAATGTTTATTTGCTATTTCAAAAAGGGTCAATAAATTTTTAAAAACATTTTTGTAATTCTCTTCATTTGGGGAGATTTTATTTTTTATTCCTACTCTGCACTTTGCTATGTTATACTGTATTATGTATGTATTATGTCAACTCTGCATCTCATTGTAAATGTAGATATTAAAGAAAATATTTTTCATATAAAATAAACTCTGAGAGTTGTTGTCTTCGTTTTATTCATATATTCATTCAGCAAACATTTATTGAGTCCACATTGGATATACAAAGAAGAGTAAGACATATTTTTTTGTCTTTAAGGAGGTAAAAAAATGTACCTAGATAGGTTTAAATAAATTATTATATTTGAAAGAAGAGTAAACAAAGAAGGAATTGGTGATTGGTCCAAACAGGAAACAGAGTGAAGAAAATCAGAGTCATGGAGCTGCAAGGCCCAGTGGTGGGTGCCACTAGTTGGATATGGCTGAAGCAATAGCCCAGTATATAGAGAAGGAGTTGCTAGAGATGAGGCTTGAATGTGGTTGGAGCCAGGTTTTGAAGACTTTTAAATACTAATAAAAAGCACACTCTATGAACAGGGAGTTCCAAAACATTTTTAAGTCTCAGAATGAAACACAGGATCTGAGAATATTAGGTGATGTCAGCTAATCTTATTACGTAGTAATTAAATGCAATGTGAGTACATTTATAGTTCTGTCATTTAAAAATTATCATTAGGTGGTTTTTCATAGATTATTGATAAATGCTGATTATTTCAAAAATGTGTTTAATATATAAGTTTAATATATTTCATATTTGGCATATTTAAGTATTTGCTCTATTTAAAATAGTATTTACCTTAGTCTTGTGTTTTTTAATTTCTTTTTTCTAGTAATAAGGAAGACCAGATCGATGAAGAACGAATGGAACCTCTGAAATATGCTGAACAGCTTCCTGTAGCTCAGATAATACACCAGGTTTGCTGTCCACTTTATTCTTTTGAAAGAAACAAGATTTTTAATCTCTAGAAAGTAATTGCTTTTGTTAGGTTTTTCAGAATCGATGTGCGGTAGCTGAAAGGCGTTCCTGGCCGTCTATCCCTGTGTGGACTCCGCCTGTTACAGTTGGGAGTCTCATTCAAAGACAGTATTAAAAGGCCACTTGCTGGGTAATAGTAGAAGTCTTACTTATGTGAAATACAGGGTGAAATCAGAATTATCTTTTCTGCATTAACAATGAGACTTAATTTTAGAAAACTTTCATTTGAACCATCGTATATAGTACTTGTTAGTGACAAGGAAAAAACTGAAAAAATATCATTTGGTATAATTTTACTGAGTAGCTAAAATGAGAAAACAATCTTTCCCTACTTCCTCCACCCCACCCCATTATCAGCTCTTGTAAAGTGTGATTCTAAATGTCGTGTGGGCACTTTTTTCATTTCCAATTATAATGACTCTATCATTCCTTCTATATAACTATAATCTTAGAGAAGGCAGCGTGGTAAGTACTTAAACATAGATTTTGTACTGTAATTTTGACAGCATTTAAAGTGTGCCCTGCTGGGCCAGAATCTAAGAATTTTAAATTGTCTGTTGTTGCGAGTTATGGCCTTTAGACCTAATGGATTTTTCAGAATCTGTAGATTATAGGAAAAATTAAAAGCCTTTAAATATCAGAATTTCTCAGAATTTTAATAAATGCTTATTATTATGAGTCTTTCCGTATGTCTTTATCAATCAAAAGAATTTTTATTTAGCTGATATGGGTTGATTAGAAGTAGTGCTGGTTTGAAAATGCTTATTAAAAGAAACAGGCTTTTACGTTAAAATGTTGGATGTATATATCTTTTCATTTACATTAAAATTTGATAGTAAAATTCTACGAGAAATTACAAAAAATGGTCAGAAATTTGCCACTTTGGGAAGCCTATCTGTGCTTGGTAATCAAGTCCAGTTTATATGTCAGGAATTCCCTAGCGTTGTCAGAGCTTAAATGACCTAACAGCCTGCAAATGTCACATTTAAAATTCTGTCTTCATGCCTGACTCTCAGCATAAATGAATTAAACAGCAGAGCAGGCAGCAAGTCAATATGTTCTTAACAGTAAGAGTGAGCAATGGAACAGTTTGTGGTTTGTTCGGAATAGGTAAATAGAATCTGCCCAGAATAGTTCACCTAGACTAAAATCTGAAACAGGAAACAAGAATTAACCTTTAAGATGGTTGACCAGATGAAATGTCAGTCATGTTTTTATAGCATGAATGAACCAATAACTATGGTTTATGTAACAGCTGCATTTTGCTCTTATACACTGTATAAATTCAAATATGAAAAATTTTGACCCTGGTGAAAGTTTTTTTTATAATATTTTTGGCAGTATAAGAAGCTATATTAATTTAAACACTGTATTATAAACATTATAGTTAAAATTCTGTAGTATCTGAGTTTGCAAAATTTTGATTTTTAAGAAATTTACACGTTAGGAATTTCTTTTATTTTATTGAATAGAATTAATTCTGTTCTCAAGGGGCAGTCAGGAAAGGTCATTGTTAAACCAGACTCTGTTCCTCTTGTTATTTCCCTTTACTGACAGCACTGCAGCCTTGGGACTGTTACCATTGTCTGTCCAGGTGGTCTTTAAGAAACATATGAGTTATGTTGCCAGACGTTCACTTATTTTTTCCCCTAAAAGAATAGTAATACATGTGATAATTAGGTTTAGCCAATCCCACAAAAGCTTTTAAAACTGTAATATATCTCCATTATAGATTTATTGTAGTATATGTCTAACTTCCACCTGTAACTATTTTATACTGTAAGTTACTGTTTTTCCTCTAATCTTGAATCATGTTTGACCTGTGCCATTTTGGAGCATGTATCATTTCTATTCGAAATAATGTTATTTATTCACATCTTATATCTCCTATTTGATTGTCTTTCTGGACGTTCTTGGTTTCTTGATATTCTTGATATCTTGATGTTCCTTTCAGCATCTTGCCTCGTGCATATATGCCTGTGCATATATCTGAATGGATGGGTATGTATTTTTAATGGTGCACTGAGAGCCAGGAGCACCTCTTTTCCCTGCTACGCAGACATTAGAAGCCAGGGCCTCTCACTAGGAGCACAGTTTAGAAGCTGCAGGAGAGGAGGAGCAGGGACAAGAGCTATTAACATGAGGAGCAATTTGAGAAATAGAAGAGAGAGGAATGGGTCTCAGTCATTTGAGTAATTAATTTCTTGTGTATCTTGCTTAAACTGCATTTTACATTCGGGAGCTAGGCAAGATTCTCAATATTGCCATTTTATACTGCCAAATTATTTGCCCTTTTTTAGGGATGCTAGAAAATATGATTGTACATCTAGGAAACCCAAGAGACTCAAGTTATAAACAATAGAATGAATAAAAGAATCTGGTGAGATAGCCAGATATAAGATAAATAAAACTGATAGCTTCTCTATATTTGCAATAAGCACACAGAATGGAAATGGGAAAAATTTTCTTTCTTGACAATGAAAAGAACTATAAAATACTTGGGGATAAAATTTTACAAGTAAACCATAGGACTTATATAACAAGAATCGTGGAAATATACCATGTTTTACACACAGAAAGACATACCAAATACTTGATGGGGTGAGGAATTTAATATAAAAGTATAATTTCTTCCAAATTAACAGTTCTAATTAGAATGGAAGCAAGTTTGGTTTTTTTTTAATGTTAGGAAAAAAATGACCACATAATTCCTGTGAAAGAGCAAAATATCCAATGATAGCTAAAGAAATTATGTAAAAAGAGGGATGCACCTACCTTACCAGATATCAGAACACAGCCTATATAATTAGATAAATATGGTATGGAAAAGGAATAGACAAATGCATTAATGGAGCACAATGGAAGAGTCGATTTCAAACTTTATCATAATTCACAATAAGGAATACATTTTGCATATATAATAATGTATGTGTGTTAAAAACAGAAATAAAAGTTTCATGAAACATTTACCCTCATTACATATGATGCACACTGATATTTTCTTTTTCTATTTTATATGTTTTAAAATGCCAAATAAAGCCTGCTAAGTTGGTTTCAAAAGCAGCAAATAGTCTTGACCTGCGGCTTGAAAGACACTAAAATAGAGAATCGAGAGAAAAAATTCACTATATCTGATCGTTTAATATATGATTGAAATGATATTTCAGTAAGAAAATGGCTAAACGTTTATTTCATATTATATATGAAGGAAATTTTGTATAGATTAAAGACTTCAAGTAAAATAAATAAATAAAAATTTTAGAAGAAAATTTAGGCAACTACATTTATAATCTGGAAATAGGGAACAACTTCTTAATGAACACAATAGCCTGGAACATTTGTTCAGCTCCATAAAAATGAAATATTTTATACAACACAAGATACCACAATGTTAAAAGATTAATATTAGAATTAAGACAAAATGTTTACATAGAAGATAACAATAAATTAGTTAATATTTAAAATATTCACAGAACTCTTGGGAATTTAAAAAAGGCAAACAGAACAACTCAGTAGAAAAAAAAGACAAAAGCGGTGAAAAGCAGTTCAGAAAAAAACAAGCCTAATGGCCAATGAATGAAGAAAAGAGCCTGTAAGAACAAGCCAGTTTGTACTGTGGAACACTGGAAAAGGAGGCCCCAGCACCTCCAAGGTTGGGTGCAAACGGGAGCTCCCAGCGTCCTCCTCCTATTTAGTTCTCAGAACACTGGCATCCAGGCCTATATATTCTGTCAGCAGAAGAATGGAGAATTCCTCCCTGAAGATTCTAGTCTAATAGAAAAATAATGTACATTTTGATATTTGCACGACCCCAGTTTAATAGCCAGGTGGTTAATGCATGGCCCCACTGGTAAGCCCACTGGTTCATAAGTGCTGCTAATGCTTGAAGAGCTTATGATCAGTGTTTTATTTCCTCACTCTTAACTGTGAAGATACAACCAAGAACCATCAGACTTTTGGGGAATGTCTTCATTATGAAAGAGAAAGATCAAAACAAGCAAATGGAAAAAGGGAACTTAGCAAATACAAACGATGACAGGAACAGAAGAAAATGATAATAATCACCACCACCTCAGAAAGAAATGAGAAGATATTTTATTTTTGAAGCAGAATACTATACAAAAAAGGAATATTCAGAAAACAAGGAAGAGCTCTTGGAAATTAAAACTATGAGAGTAGAAATAAAAGTTTCAATAGAGAGTTTTGAAGGCAAAGTTGAGAAAATCACTCAAAAGGTGGGACATTTAAAAGACAAAAGAGAAGGAAAATTGGAGAGAAAGCATAAGAAAATTGGAGAAATAACTGTTGGTAGACAGTTATATATGAATCTTTCATATTTCTGTTCATCTTGTAAGCGGAGGCACAGACAGGCTTTTGTTCTGGATTGTCTTGTCAAAGGTGTTTTTATAGTGAATAATCTTGGAAGACAGAGATGGTGACTCCTTCAGGAGCAAAGTGCAGATTTATTTGCCATTATAATAAAGATCATGTCTCCCTCCAGGGCAAAGATAGGACAGATTTGTTGCGGCTTCTTATAAAAGATTTGGGATTTCCTAATCTGAGGATTCCTTGTCTGTTATATAGACTTACTGTGTGCATAGCATCTACCTGTCCTGCCACTACATTGTCCCCATGGGACTTGAGGGGCAAGGAGACCTGGCACAAATGTGAAGCTCATGCTGCCGTGAATGATAAAGTCCTTTGTCACTGACCCAAGAGTCTTGTGTCTTTTGCCAATATCTATGAAATTGTTCTAGGTCAACTTGTTACCTTGGAAGCAGGGTAAAATTTCAGACCCTTCATAGATTTGGACAATAACTGATGAGGTCAAATGTCTGACTAATAAAGATACTAGAAAAAAAGGACAAAAAAAATTGGAAAGGAGGATATATTAAAGAAATAATACAAGAAAACTTTTCCAGACCTCAGTGGTTTACCA